TGTGTGTGTGTGTGTGTGTGTGTGTGTGTGTGTGATTGGCTGAATTAGTCTTGAGTGCTCAGCTTACTAGAAAGGTGCAACACTGAGAATAGATGTGTTAAAAAATAACAACACATAATGAGTTAAATTAGATCGCATGTGCGGCATATGCTTGAAATTTGGTAACTAATTCTTATGTATTTTTATACAGGTTAAAATTAAAACGTAAAAACATTCATACAAAATGTGTATTGTGTAAAAGCAAACACCTTTTCTAAGTATTTTCTGACTATTTACCGCATACTTTAAATGATCACTATGACAGCAGCTGAAGCTCAAGATATCAGCTTCTAACAGTTTAGGTGTTTGCTTTCTGAATGCTTTTCCATTAGGACATGTAAAAGCCAGTCTGCTGGACTGTAGTGGAAAAAAGTAGAACAAGTGTTCCACCTTGTTGTCAGGAGCCTGAGGGCAATTCATGAATGGATGCACTCATTGCCACTTTACTGCTCAAAGCTTTATTAGTAAAAAAACAAAAAACAAAAAACACACACACACACACACACACACACACACACACAAAAATTATAAACAGTTGAGTTAAATGTCTGATATTCTGTATTATAAATGTTACAAATGTATCATACTGGACTGACCTTTCACCTCCAGGTTGACAAACAACTCCTGGTTGCCCTTTCGTGTGCTCGTGTAGCATTTGTATCTGCCCTTGTCTTGAACTTTGACCCTTCTGAGGAGCAGAGAGGCATTGCCGTGAGGGATGTGGGAGTTGAACAAGGCTGTCCTTCCACTGAAGTGCTTGTTCTGGAGTCCAAACTGGTCCTTGTTGTAGTAGTAACTGTGGACAGGGATTTGCTGCTTGTACCAGTGGATGACCACTGTGCCTGTGGGTCTGAAGCTACAGGGCAGGATGCAGTCATCGTGGAAGATGCAAGTGACATTGGCATCTGGTAGTAAGACTGTGAGAAAGCAAAGTTATTGTCACGAATGAATCAGCAATTAACACTAAACTTTATTTATAAATGATGTCCTACTGAATTAAACTTAGTTTTCTGTTCTTGATTCTCACTGATCTCCCCACCACATTTGTATTGCTTTGTTTGGATGAATCATTTGATGATGAACGTTAAAAAATGATTGTATGTCTCCTGCTGTGTCAACAGCGTGCCACAATTAGAAATCCTTCACTTTTACACCCATTGACTGATGCGATTCTATTTTTCACAACATGAATCTGGGTTAATAAAATCCAATTTTCTATCAGAACAACTGAAACAATTTCTGACCTTATCTCTTTTATTACTGATAACATGTAAGCTGTGTGTTTGACTGAAATCAAGATTTTTTCCCCTACATTTTCACATCCCCTATGCCTAATGAGTAGCCCTGAGATGTGTGCAGCTGTCACAGTAACACTTTCAGGGTATCGGGGACGCACGCAGCTGTATTTACAGCTGCTGTGGAAACTTAAACGCAAAAATGATGCTATCTGCAAAAGCTGCCCATTGTTCAAAGCACTGTTGCTGCTCAAACACAACACCAGTGACACATGACGTAGTGGTATAATTTTAACAAGTCAGGCAGCTACAGTGCATTGCTTATTTCCTTCGCACTGATTGCCAACACACTGCAGAGTCACCTTTAAATTACATTAACCTTACGTTAAATTCACACACTGCTCTTCCTGTGGCTTTGACTTTCTTAATTTCCAATTAATTGAATAAATTACACATAAGCATATGTTGTATAAAGAGACGTCAAATATCACAGTACCTTTTGAGTTTGTCGATGGCAGTTTATCCAAAAACATGATCAGCATAAACACAAGTCCACTCGTGTCCGCCATGTCAGATGACCTGCGTCAGGATGGTGAACCTGCAACACTATTTGACTTGCGTGCGCATGAAAGCACATTGGTGTGCGGTGAGCTGCTTCTGTGTGATTCCACTTTACATCCTTCCTGACACTAATGAAACTCTGATTAGTTAACCGTGCAGGTAAAAGTTTAACCAGCCTCCCTGTGAATGCTCCACAACACAACACCTTAATCTGAACACCTCACATCAAACAGCTCTCTCTTTCCATTCTAACAAATAACTCCATGTAGTCTAAACACACACACACATATATATCTATATATATATATATTAACATGATTTTATGTAAGGATGTGTAGGTATAAAGGTAAAAAGGAAGAGGAAACGTGTTTTGTGTGTGATGGAGTGTGAATAAATTGAGACAACACTTTTTTAACCTTAAAGCATGGCTGTCTTTTTCTTCAAACATAATGAGAATCATGAAATCACACATAATAATTATACTGTCAGCATGTTTTTCCAGATACTTTTGTCAAGCAGCCCAGCCGTGTCGCATGCAGAAGGTTTTTATGCACCTTATCCCAAACAGGATAAGTCTACTGAGGTTCAAAGTATATTAATGTTATTTTGTTGCTTTTCCATAAATGCAAAATATCCAACATAAACAGCTGCAGATAGCTCACTTGCTGGCTTTTCTCATATTTTGGAAGATGATGACCTCTAGAGGGCACAGGCGAGATGTTTCTGCCCAGCTGTCTAACAGCTGTGGGGTCACATGTGAGTGAACCGAGCTGCACGTGCACGATTCTTTAAGATGTCATTGCTCATGTCTGCCCTAAATCAACTTTAATCCCAGATTAAAGGGAGCATGCTACTAGGGTCATGCTGTCCATGTTTTGATTATATTATTAATTTTGTCTTAGTTTCTACTTCTCAATCCCAGGCCTTTATTTCTTAATTAAAAGCACCTTCAGCAAATTTAATGTCATGTGGAGAAACAAATAAATATTTGAAACACCAAAAATGTTGCCAATTGTTTTCAATTTATAAAACAGGGATGTCAAACTCATTTTACGGTGTGTGGGCCACATACTGCCCACTTTGACCTTAGGTGGGCTGGACCAATGAACGGACATGATAAATATTCAATGTTCATTCTGGTTGTTCAAAATACAGTCTTCAATGTACAGTCTTGAGAGTGGTAAGGACTGAAATGCTAGTGATGTAGCTGAGTCTCAAAATCACAGGCTGAGGAAAAGTCGTCATATTTTGCAGGTTGAGGACCTAAACACAGACTCCACAGACTCCAATGTGCAGAAATAAAATATAGCAAAGCTTTATTGCAGGATGAAGAGGTATCCAAAAATACAACAAGTAAACAACAAAGTGGCATGGACCGCACCAGGGTGATAAAAGGAACATAACCAGGAGCAAGGCAGAAAATGCAGACACCACAACAAAAGATAAAGAGAGACTGGGCTATTTAACACTAAGGCAAATCAGGGGGAAAGGGATAGGCGAGAAGGGACAGGAACATTAAAAAGAAATCAAAACCCTGATGTGTAATTAGAGTCACAAGTAGAAACAGAAGCTGTCCCAGTAAAGTGAAGACACAAAACACAAAAATAAAAAAGAAGCAAACCAAAAAATCTTTAACAAAAGAAAGTACCAACTTAAAAACCTAGGTGTACACCCAGGACCATGACAGGAGTAAGTTCAAACTTGTCATTATCATAAAGTGATAAAACTGTCATAGTTAATATAACCAGTGACAAAAACATGTTTTGGCAGACAACACATGGAAGCAATGCCTCCTTGGGCCAGCTGTTTATAGCCCAACACAAACCAGGCAAAAACACTCCTCATCATCAAAGGACTGTTCTCTCTCGTCTTCTTAGTCTTCCTTCCTTGGGAAAAATCTGTGGTATCCTGTATTGTCTTTTTAGCATCAGCGACCCATTTTCTCCTTTTCTTATCCAGGACCAGTGAGACAAGCATCCAACTAACCACTTGACAAGCATTTTAAGCTAGCTACCACATGGCTTTAGCCTTCTAATGAAAAACTGACTTAAATCAAAGCTATTACTTTTATTTTATAAAAAGTATTCTGACCAATGAAAATGAGAAAAAAAAACCCTCCTCACTTCAGTGTTTTCGTGTGTGTTCCACATAATCACCACTGCAAAACAGACTGAAAAAGAAACACCCATACAACAGAAAGTCATTGTGTGGCTTCTCAGTGGTCTAATTTTCATATGTGTGCAGTAGTGATGTGTCGGTCACGAACGAAATGGCTCTTAGAGCCGGAAATTTGACGTGAACGGCGCGAGCCGTTGGGTTTTCTTTTCCTTTCTCTCACCCTCTCTCTCGCACTTTTTTTCCGCTTCAATTTAAAATAATTTTTTTTTTTTAAATAGTTAAAAGTTGAAATGTGAATAGTTGGTTTTTAGTATTATATGATTTATTTATTACATTTTATCTGGAGTGAATAAATAAAAGTATATTTACGGTGGCCCCTAGAGACAAAGCACATACAAACTCCGAAGCATGTACAAACTCAGAAGCACGTAAAAACTCCAAAACACATACAAAAGACAACAGAAGTGCTCCAGGATGCTAGG